TGGCGGCACAGCTCACAGCAGATGTGGCTTTAAGAACTCGCGCGTTACCAGGCAACAAGGGGCCCAACGTAAAACTGATCACACTGAAAGCTGAGATCATCCGAAAAAAGCAGGAATCTTCCCATGGAGAGCACGTTCTGTTCCAGGGAAGCCCAGGCACGTTCCTGCTTTACCAGCGGCCACAGAAACCTCTAGGCTCAGCAGACCCTTAGCTCCAGGTGGTCTCTGCTCATCAGGTTGGTAAAATCTATTGGCCAATCAAGTGCCACTGGGGGAGGCAAGTCCACCAGAGCCCAGGGAAAGATGTGGACCGTAGAAACAAGTTTCCTTGGCCTGAATCAAGCCACCAGATACTCTCATGCTGTAAAAGTTTGAGTTTCCAGGACTGTTTGCAAATGAGACTTCAGGGTGGCCACTGGACACTTGAGAGAGAAACGGTCTTGCTCATCCCCTCCCCTAGCTAGGGACAAGTGACCAAGCATTGAAGGTCTGCTGTCTTAGTATTTTCAAGGCTGGACCTCTTTCTCCAGGAGGGGAGGGAGAAGGGCATTCTCATCCTCTGCTTCTTCAGCTGGGGAACTGGCTAAAGGTCGCCGTCAGAGTTACTGCTGGCTGTCCAGAAAGTGACTCATGGAAAAACCCTCATGCAGTGGAGCCTTTTCAGGAAAACCCACTTGGCATGTGCACATGCTTTGTCCTCTCTCTCACCCCCCTCAGAGATCTTAGTGCCAAAGGGGACAAATGCTCCGCCAGAGAGACAGGGAGCAGAAAGAAGGTAAATAGTGACAATTCTTTTTTTCTACTCCATAGATGGTTCTCTAGGGCACCAAGTGAAACTTGGTCCTCCTCTCTCAGCACATCTTGACAACTCATTTACCGAAAAAGGTGAATTTCAGCTCTGTGTACCCACGATGGGCAAGTAGACTAGGAAGTCTCACCAGGTCCTGCAGTTACTGCGAGATAAACAAGGATGCAAACTGGACCACAGCCCATGTAGGAGGCAGCATTTCCAGAAGGGAAAGGCTGTCCTTTTGTACAGAGAGAAGATGCAAGGCTGGCTGAGTTCAGGGCTGAAGCGCTGGTGGGAGCTTCAGAGCAGCCTCTTCCGGCGTCAACAGCCCTTAACCCATGTGCCATGAACCAAGCCCCAGGACTTCATCAGGCACCAGGTTACAACTTCTCAAATAAAGTCGTGGCTGAGAAAAAGGTCAGGGCACTTCTTAAGCAGAGACAGGACTGGGACACTTTCCCCCCACATGTAACATCAGCAAATGGCTTCATTTAATTGATTAAAAACAAAACAATACCAGCAATAAAGAATGCAAATCAATGCAAATTGCACTTAAAATTAGTTCCATGTTAGCACATTACTCTAGCTTTCTCAGTGACCCCATCAGCGTTTGAACTGCTTCCATTTGCAGTTTGAAAAAAAAGGTGTATTTGTGATCAGAGAGACGTACCCAAGTCCGTGCTTGTCAATTTACCTACATCCACATCCACTTTCTAAACATATATACGTTTTCCCTGTACTGTCTGATCAATGGGAAGGAAGGATACACGCAAACCCTAAGGGGTGGGGAGGGCGGCAGAAGGAAGCTGCAGCAGAGACAGGCTCTGAGCTCGGGATGGAACCCACGCTGCTCCTCCCGGAAGCAGTTTAGGGTAAAAGCCATTTCCTTTAAAATCAGTTTCCCTGCCTGAGCCCTTCCTTTCTATTCCCAAACCACACCCCAAAGGTTCCCTTCGCCCCAGCCTCTCACCTGGCCATCACGTCACAGAGAAGCAGCATGAAGGGAAAGCTTTTCCATACTGGAGGGCACACTCCGGGACGGCATGCTGGGATTCAACGTGTTCAGCATGTGCTGCGTCTGGGAGGGCCCAGCGATCTGAGGGGATAAAGACACTCATTCAAATAAAATGTGGCGTGTGGTTTTTCATCCAAGATCACCTCGACTCTCCTATGCTGATGACATCAGGATTACTAAGTAGTGTTCACCCTGAGGAAGGGTTTAGTGAAGGTGGGGGGGCAGGGCTCTGAGCAGGACACTCAGGGGACCCCTGAAGGGCTGGGGGGGGGGGCAGGCATAGCCCAGAGGACAACAGTGAGACACACAGAAACTACATATGTATGAGTGACTCATTCCCTGGCAGAACCTACAAAGTGAAGAGGTTAGTTCCTGTGGGTGTAGCCTCACTTCTGGAGTCAGGTTTTATAAAAATAAGCACCAAAAAGAAGTCCCTTCTGTAGACAAACTTAAGTGTCAGCAAAGATCAAAATGCTAATTTATGGAAATTATCAATTTCTGGCAAGAGTATAAAGATGGTTTAAATCATCTGAAGAAAAGAGTCAAATGCATTCAGTTTACATTTGTTTATTGTTGTAACATTTTGTTTTGAACATCAAACACTGCACCAAAATATGAGCCATTTATCTTAAGACAACTGTCTTTGCCATAACTAAGAGTACTGGACTGATGTTTACAATTAATTTCTGACAACTTAAAACTTATTAGTGGCATTGCTGTCTAATAATCAAATACTTCATCACAGACCGAATGTAATTATTAAATTAAAAGAGCAAAGTTTCTCCCTCCCTTTCTTACCTTCCATACAAACCAAAAAAGTAGCTTTCACCTGGAAAGAGCAGTTACTTTAAGCAAGAACTTAATTTCATTAAACCCAGCATGCTCCAAAACAGGGGAAAACAAACAAGAATTCCCAGAGTAAACATGATGATACTTAAAAAGATGATAAAATTCCCTGGAAGAGTCTGTATTCACCAACTTGTGAAAACAGAGTTTACTTTCTACCTGTTTTCAAAAGGTCTTGCCTGCACCTTCAAGAACACACTCCAGGAGGGCGGGGTGCCAACTACAGGGCGTGAGTACTTCCCAGGCATTTAGCTGGCTGTTGTTCCTCAGCTGTTCTCCCTCTGATTGTCAGCAGCTTTCATTTTAGGCCATCACACTAGTTTTTTCTTTTTCCAGTTGAAAACTACGCAGATTTTTTTAAGCACAGCAAACACAGTACTCATACACGGGGGCTGAGTTTGCATGCTCCGGGCCTACATGTGTTACTTCCTAACGCCTGCCAGAGATGCGGATGTCGGCACCATAGCCGCACAAGCTTCAACATGCGGACTTCAAGGCAAATGCTAAAGTTAGGCTGAACTGGAAAGAGGGAAAGGGCCCATGGCCATTTCACCAGTGGAGCAGCCTAGAGGAGGACTTAGAAGAGCCCAATCTGCCTGCAATCTCCCTGTGATACCGCCCATCACTGAAAGCAGCACGAGGCTAACACTTCCACATTAACTCACCATCGTAAGGATCTGTGTACAAACACACTCGAGGGCATCTCTCTTTCACAGAAAGAACAAATGTCATTTGTACCAAATGGCAATGGATTTTCAGCACAAACTTAATACTTTCATAACACTATATATAGTAATAGTAATCATCTACTTTCAGCCAGAGGGACTCCTTTAAAGAAGGAAAAGACTCGTTAATTAGCGCATGTACCCACTGGATCAATCTGCAGCAACAAAATTACAAAGTCTAGTGCTTATGGACACGGGGACAGAAGGATCACCCTCAACGCAGGGCAGGGAGACCCGGGTTCCTAGGCTGGACCATCTAACGAGGTCCCTGTGTCCAGAGAAAAGAGCTTATCAAGAAAAAAACCATCTAGTCAAAAACTCTTTCAAGGACAACCTAAGAAAAACTACAGAAGGTGGATATGATTTTTCGCACCGCACATAGGCAAAGAAGCCCTGCTAAGCTCAGGTCAAGCACGTAAAGCTCACGTTCTTCCTCTAAAGCAAATACGGTTGAGAACATGATGATGACATCTATGAGATCAACAGATGCTGCTCTGCTAGGACTTCAATTCACTAACTGGGCAGAACTTCAAATAAACATAGCCTAGCTTTTCTAACCTACTGACATAAATGAACTCATAAAGCAATCCTTGAACTATTTAGGTGGGAAGGTTTGCACGGGAGGAAGTGTGTATCGTTCCTCCTCCCGGAACACGCCTACTGAGAACCACGTTCACGGGACTTGACCATCGTCTCTGCATCCAACAGCACTAGGAAAACCGCTGAACTACATCAGGGACTTGCAACTCTCCAATCTGGAAAAATAACCGCCCCCATTTCTCCATCTCTAGATCAGTATTATTTTGGGTGAAGCAAACTGAAACTAGGAGACTCTCAATACAAGTACAGGGGAAAGCTGAGGTGGACATGGAGACCTTCCCGAGTGGTGACCTGTACCTGCGGCTCCCACTCTCTGCTCTGGAACTCGGCCCACTGAGTTCTCACCAGCAGAGGCCTATGTCTGGTCATTTCTGGTCCCCTGGAAGCCTCTAAGTTCTCTTGACTTTAATACTGAGTGATGCCAACACCCAGCCTGACGTCTCTAGGCTCCCACAGCTCTGGAGGGGCTTATGAGACAGAACCCTTCCATGTGCTGTCTGCTCGGACTCTGACATGAGCTCCTTACAACCAGGCTGGGAAACTGAGCTGCAGGCAGAGGGACACAGAAAAGGACTCTTCCAGGACCCAACGTGTATGCACATCTGCGTTTCTAAGGCCTCCCTGAAAACAGGGCTGTTGTTGTTTAACTAACTCCCACTGTTAGTACAGTTCTTACAGACACCAAATATATCCGGCAACACCTGTTTCTTCTGGCTAGGTCCAAGACATAACCTAAGGGTCTCTCATCAGGGAGTAGTCACAGATGAGAAGGCGATGATCGAAGGGGCTTTTCTTCCCCAGAAGCCCATGTTTGTGGGGCTGGGATTAGTGGCCCTGGGGCCCCACCCAGCCCGGCTGAGCAGCCGTCCTGTTTCAGTGTGGCAGGGAAGGAGGAGCCCAGAGAAGGAACGTGCACAGGCGGTTTGATCCAACATCACTAACTGGACCTGCAGCAGTTGGTGGACCCTGACTGATACTCTGAAGAAAGCCTTGGTTTTAGAAAGAAACACTCTCAGTTGCCCAGTGGAAAATATAACACTTTACTTTGCGCAATGTTTTGGTCCACTCTTATTTAGCTTCTTTTTTCTTCCTTTTAAATTATTCAATTAAAGGAGCACCCAGTACACAACCTGACACAGCGTGTCAGGACCAGTGACAGGAGTGCAGCGCCTCCAACCTCAGGTCTGAGCTCCCCTCCCTTCTCCCGCCGGGGCCCTGAGCTGCAGCAACCCCGCCAGATCCGCGAAGGTGCAGGAGGGCAGCAGCTCCAGCTCCAGGAGCTCTCTCAGTCCCTGCTGGTGCCCGCCCGGCAACTCATGTCTTGTTCCACGCTTGTGGCTCGGAGAGCCCAGTGTCCTCTGTCCAGCAGAAATGCCAGTCCCTTTCTCTCGCTTCCAAGCGAGTAACTGAGGACCTCCCCCCGAGGTGCTGCCTCAGGCCAGGTCGTCCAGGTCCACTTTGGGGATTGGGTCTCGCCAGTAGCAGAAGGAGCTGAACTCTGGGCATGGAAAGGCGGAATTCTGTTCCTTATTGAGAAGTGGGAACACATGCTCCACGAGCTCGCTCAGTCTGTGATACCTAGAAGAAGGGATTGGGGAAGAAACGCCACACTGTAACTTTGAAGTTGGTCCAAGAGCACGAGATTGCAGGTTGTTAAGTTAGTTATTCAGATTCCTCAAATCGGTAGCATCTGAGACAGACACCCCTCTGCAGGGCACAGCCTCCCTCTTCAAAGTCTAGGATAATCCGTGATCCCTAAACAGCTGTTGTAGAGGGGAAAACACACAGGCACGGAGGAAAGCCTCCAAAAGGCAGGTACGGTACGGTTCTGAGACCTCGAGCTGGGCCTGATCCTTAGTATCTGTCTGTCCCCATCTTCACCCCTGGCTGCAGGGCCCCAGGCTGAGAAATGGGAACGCACTTACGATGACTTGTTTCCTTTGGTCCTTTCTTGTATTAATTCTCCCTTGGGGTTCACAGTGAATATTCTGCAGTCTGGAACTCCAACTTGCGTGTAAGCATAGACATCCTGCAGAAGAAAACATTAAACAGGATGATTACAGAGAGAAGAAATTAGGAGATGCTTCTCCGGTTCCTCATGAGCCACAAGAACTGCATAAACAGAAGACTGCCCACGGAAGACATGTGGAGCCGGGCAGCGTGCAGCTTTGCCATGAAACTGAGCTTTAGACAACACTAAACAGTGGAGCCAAACCCAGAGGGCGCTCGGGGAGTCAGAAAACTTGGGCGCCAAGGAGAGGAGCAGGAGAGGGCCCCACTGCCTGCCAGAGGCCAGGACGCAGCACCTCTGCAGCCCGGGGAGGAGGCAGGTCGGGGAAGCGTTAATGAAGGGCAAGAAGTCATGCTGTGGTTCTGGGCCGATCCAAGGACACGGCTTAGAACTACGTAGAACATGAGTCAGAACTGCCTGAGGAAGTGGAATTGAAGCCACAGAAACAAAGTGAAAGTGCCCTTTGTCATATACCAAATTCTGGGAAAGATCTCCACCTGCAGGACCTCCCCAACAGCAGAAATTTGAAACAGATAAAGAGAAAACCCATTAAGCAGGACAGATATTCATTTTGCTCATACAGTTGGTTTGGAATTATGACATACCTATACTTTAAAAAGGACATTTCTCTGGACGTTACCCACCACGAACGTGTAGCCCAGAGGAGACACTTACATTTGGACGGTTTCCAAAGGCAGCATAGAAGGGCTGCTTAGATGGGGCAAACAGATTCTTGATATCGTTTAGACACTCAATTTTGAACTTTTCTGGTTTCTTTTCTATTACTTCCCTAGAGAAAAAAAATACAATCACCAAATTCAGAATGGTAGTTTTCCCTGGTGTGTGGTCCTAAAAAGATTTTAATGCTCACAACCACCCAATTTTTTTAATCCTTTGTAACTGGTATCTTTCTCCTCCTTTGCCAGTCAATGTGACGACTAAGACAACGGGATCGGGTTTAGGGAAGGAGAACACTTGATAACGTGACTTTTCTTGACCATGTCTGACACAGACCAGGTGAGCTGTGTGAGGAGGAACGCTATGGGGGAGCCAAAGAACCAGGAGACCCAGAAGCTCGCAAACAGATACAAACCCTTCCCATGAGCCTGACGTACGTACGCACGCACACACACAAACATGCACGCAGTGCGGCTGCCCGCTGGAGATGTACCTGTGGAAGGCCGAGAACAAGCTGCTGGGGGACAGCATCAGAGGGCCCCGGGGCAAGATCGTGCCCTTGTCATTGACCCAGTGCAAGTAGCCACGGGTCATGTCGGCCATGCCAATGGCACGGGCAGAACAGTACAGAAACTTGTAGCCATTCCTGAAAGAGAACATGTCCTGTTTAGCAGACGTGCCTTGACGAAAGGGAAAAAAAGCACTTTTCTTTTAAAAGATCCAAATAAAGCTCCTCTTACTGTGAAAATCAAATTCTTGAATTTAACAGGAAAGTAGTTAGGATTATAAAGATCTCACCTTTTCAGGGAAAATGCCACAGGGAAAAACAGAAGTATATGCAACTAGGGATTACGTTAAATTTACAAGCATTGGTGTATCTTCAGCATCTAGTCCATAAAAGCCAGAATATACAACAGACAAAAGTCTTGGACTATCTTTAAATTATCTGCTTTAAAGTAAAGATACAGAGGATCTTATTTATAAAGACAATTTGCAGAATGCAAACTATTCGGTTAAGACAAGTAGCAAAATTATATCTGGGTAACTGACATATTTATATTACGGCATTCTCACCTAATGCGTAAGACACTCTAATTTTTCAAATAAATTTAACTTGTATGTATTAGGGTCCCACAAAGACCAGAGCATTGTTTTCTCTGACAGAGAGGATGAAATGTTTCCCCCATGCACACGTGTATTACCTATGTTACCTTTCTGAAGGTATTATCATTTTACCTTTTGAATTGTACTATCAACAAAATACAATTCAAAAATACTCAATTAATAAAAAAGAAAATCAGCTCTCTTGTTAAATTATAGCTTAAAAAAACCCAATTGTGGCTATAACTATAGATACACGTAGTGCCTAAAACTCACTGCATTGTGAGAATGAGACCATATAGGTTAAACACAGAACGTAACGCCTGGCACACAGCTCACGTTCCCTATGTGGTGGCTGCCACTCTTCTCTGTGCGAGGCTATAGGAAGGAAGTGAGAAAGAAGAACAGGAGTAGCTGGATTATGAACAGTTTCCATGGGCTTGAAGTATGCTCTTTTTCTATAGTTCTTAAAGCAAAACGCTAGCTCACTAGAGTGTGTTGACCCATGGGACAGGATACCTACTCGTTGATGGAATGGTAGAGCTTCGCTATACCCTGATGAGTCCAGTCTTTACCCAGCTGTGGAAGAATCTGTCCCAAAGCATCAGACCTAAGAGGGTAGAGAAAGGAAAAGGTATCAGGAATCGAGCACATAAACCCCAGTGTTTTCCTGTTTAGTTCAATACTAGCAGCCAAAAAGCACTGGGTGGAGGGGGTCGGGTGACACTCTATAGGGGAGATCGTGTCACGGCTCCTTCAACAGAGAGGCTGTCCCTGCAAATACACCCACCAAGGAACTTCCTCAAGCACAATCAGACACGAGAGCTAGGTGTTCATTTTCAGAGATCATTTACAACCACACATCCTCTTTCTCTCCTCCCTAATCTCAACAGCTTCTTAGTCTTTTTTTAACACCAGAATTGAGACCAAATAACTAAATCCTTCCAAAAGTTATTTATTTTTTTTGAGCAAGATTGGCCCTGAGCTAACATCTGTTGCCAATCTTCCTCTTTTTCTTTTTTTTCCCCAAAGCCCCACTACATGGTTGTATGTCCCAGTTGTAGGTCCTTCTAGTTCTTCTCTGTGGGAGGCTGCCTCAGCACGGCTTGATGAGCAGTGAGTAGGACCACGCCCAGGATCTGAACCAGCGAACCCAGGCCACTGAAGTGGAATGCGCAAACTTGACTGCTACGCCACAAGGCTGGCCCCACAAGTTATTATTATTTTTTTTTTTGTGAGGAACATCAGCCCTGAGCTAACATCCATGCCAATTCGCCTCTTTTTTTGCTGAGGAAGACTGGCCCTTGGCTAACATCTGTGCCCATCTTCCTCTACTTTATATGGGACGCCACCACAGCATGGCCTGACAAGCAGTGCATTGGTGCACACCTGGGATCCGAACCGGTGAACCCTGGGCTGCCGCACCGGAGCGCACGCACTTAACCACTCTACCACATGGCTGGCCCCCAAAAGTTATTTTTGATGTTACATTTGTAGGGCTCCACCCACCTCCTCCATCCATAAAATGACGCCGTGTGGACTGCACTCAGGACGTCTCAGTGCATATAGTTTAAAAAACACTCCTGGGAGTGGCCAAGGGCCAAGTGCTGGGCAAGGCACCCCCCACCACACACTGACCTGTGCTTCCCCTCCCTGCCACCCACCACTGCTCCTGCTTACTTGGTTATTGTTCCATCAATATCCGAAATGATGATCTTGTCATTCCAATTCCATAGGTAAATGGTCCCTGCACAGCGGCAGGTACCTTGATATTGGGTTGTAATACTAAAAACAACATCATTTGGGCCATCTTGGAGCTTCAGTTTTGCCTTTGATAAAAAGTAAAAGAATAAAGAAAATTAAAGAGGGAGAATTTTGAAAATGGTAAATCACTTTGGTGGAATTATACGCAACAATTAAAAGTCACATTTTCCAGTAATATGTAGTCACTGAGAGATTGCTTAAGAGAGAATGTTACGTGAAAAACGATCCTAATCTCTAAAAAAAATATATAAATGTATATGTGTGTGTGTGAATGTATAAAGAACGGAAAGAAATACATAAATATGATAACTCTAATAAGAGAGAAAAAGAAAATCAGCTGAAAACATACAGTTTGGAACAGAGTCTGAATATTTATAAAACACCCGTCGGTGTTCCAGAACCGCAGCTCAAGGCAGGATGGTTTCTGTCGCATGAGCACATACCTAGCCCAGTGCTGTGCAGACGGCTGGCTCACAAGAAGCTGGGCTGAGGGAGACGTGGCCTGAACAGTGTTTCGAGATTCCAAGAGACTTTTCTAATCCCCCAGAACACAAACCCTCTCTGCTCTTCCTGCATACCTGAGACTGCCCTGGGGCACAGCAAGACCATTTCACACTGAAAACAGGTGCAAGTCAGGGAGCGGGAAACAAACAGGAAAGGGGAAATTGTGTCTTAATAAGAAAATGTCATTTCTCTATTGTTGTGGCTCCTAAGAGATAGTACATGGCCCAGTGCTGGGCTGGCTGTGTAAGATTCACTGGGGAAACAGGTTAAAAATACAGATTCCTCGGTTCTCTCCCAGATACTGAGGTGGGAGGTCTGGGGCAGTGGGGCAGCTGTGTCCCAGGTTTCCCAGGTGATCCCGGTGGTCCCTGGGCGTGGGGGATGCTGTTCTACTTTATGTGAGCATTTACATGACCACACACTATGCAGTGCACGTAAGCTTCGCACTGGGTGGACAGAAGAGGAAGCAAGTCCGATTCAACAGTTACTAAGACAATCCGACTGGATCCCCAGGATGACACACGACTTACAATCTGGTCCGAGGAGAGTCGAAGAGACTTCTTATATGAGGTGGTGCTGCAGCGGCTTGGGGGCTCTGTGGGGATGGGGTCCACTTTGATCGATTCTTCCAGCTCCTGTGATCCCTCGTCACTCGACGAGTCATCCTCGGCCAGCCTATTTAACATCAACCCAGTTACTGGAGAGGCAGCAAGGTGTTTTATTGATGAGAGCTCTTCATTTAGGATCAAGAAAAGAAAAAGATCCTAAATCCATTCTAGGGATGGGCAGAGCTGTTCCCTGTTTCCCAGGCCTGAATATCCATACCACCTTCCCCCTGGCTCGAGATTGGCTGGCAGTTACTTTCTGGCCGTGACTGGTCCTTCTCTGCCATGACCAGTGAATGCCACTAGGTCTAATACCTTGTTGAAAAGAATATGTATGTTTCAAAAGATGTAAATTGTGGAAAATATAATTGCTTATACTGATCTAAAAAACTAACAAGAAAGATTTTACACGCTCCTTTTAAAAGAAGAGGGTAAAGAGTGAGAAAGTGAATGCTCAGGCTTAGACTACTAAATTAACGAGTCAGGGGATGGCAGGAGAAGAAAGCATATGACTGGGGAAAGCACAGGATGGCAGAGACAAGAATGGGGTATCTGGTGGCACCTCCTCTCAGGGCCAGTCAAGCCAATGTACGAACAGGTGCTACTTCTTCCAAGAAATGAAATGAACCCACACCCATTTTGAGATTCTCTTTTACATCTCCTTTTGCACCTGACTGGAAGCAAGGGGGCAGGAGCTCCAGGGGCAGCACATCTTAAGACCCTTCAAGATCCCCTCAGAGGCCTGCATTTCACAGGCATCTGATTCCGTGGCTCCAGGAGGGAGCAAGGTATTTCAGAAGCAGTGATGAGCATATTTACTCCTCTAAGCTGATAATATTTTTTAGAAAAACATAAGTTATCATCTGCTAACTGAGTGGCACAAACAAGCCACACGTCCACAGCAGAAAGATGTTTCTGACTAAGAATTAAACAAAATTGCCCAGGGCCGGCCCCGTGGCTTAGCAGTTAAGTGTGCGCTACTACTGGCGGCCCGGGTTCAGATCCCGGGCACGCACCGATGCACCACTTCTCTGGCCATGCTGAGGCCGCATCCCACATACAGCAACTAGAAGGATGTGCAACTATGACATACAACTATCTACTGGGGCTTTGAGGGGGAAAGAAAAAAAAAAAAAAAGGAGGATTGGCAATAGATGTCAGCTCAGAGCTGGTCTTCCTCAGTAAAAAGAGGAGGATTAGCACGGATGTTAGCTCAGGGCTGATCTTCCTTAAAAAAAAAAAAAAATTGCCCAAATCAACTTGAATACAATGGCCAAAGCAGGGGTGGCCCGCGCGCTGTGAGCAAGGAGGAGGGACAGGCACCCCACCTGCCACCAGCCGGCTCCTTTGCGCCCGACGGCAGGTCACTGGTCGGCGGCACCTCCGACTTCCCTTCCTTGGTCTCCGGCAGCTAAAACAGTAAGACAGTTAACGGCAACGTGCAGTTGTTCCCCCTACTGGCAAGCAAAAATTCATCAGCAGCCCTCTCCAGAAACAGGCAAAACTGCCTTCTTAATCCACAACTTAACAATGCTCAAGAAACAGACTTTCTCGTTTGATCCAAAGGACAGAAACTTGAGACAGAAGTCATCTGCTGCTGCACAGAAAGCTGCACTACAAAGCCAGAAGTAAAAATTTTAAAAAGAGCTCCATTTCAAGTCACAAAATATAACACTCTGGCCCACATTCTCAAGACACTGGGACGCTGGCAGGGAAGGGGAAAGGGCACAGGCTTTGGAGGGGGACCCCAGGCCCAACCCTAGCTCCACCCCTCAGCTCCACCTAGTTCTGTGCCCTCGCTGTCAAGCTGCTTCCCTCTTCGCGCCCCAGTTTCCTGACCTATGAAACGAGAACTCAAACATCTACACTGTCAGGCTGCAGTAAAGGTGTGAGTAACATATGTAAAGATCTAGCATAGAACTTGAACATTAACTGTTCCAAAATTGTGACTATAATGATTGTAGAAGAGCATTATATAGCCCAAACTGACTTTCTTGTGCTTGGCAAAAAGGTTTTTTGAAGAAATGAAAGATGCCCTTCTTTTCAGCCCACAGGAAGGATTACCTCCAGATCAGTTACCTGTTTCGTCATGCTTTCTCTCTTACGCCAAAACCACCAGCGACCAGATTTCTTTGGCATCTTATCTTTGACCCAGGACTCGACTGTGGCCTTAAAACAATCAACTTGAGTTAGTCTAGCAACCTGTCAATCACAAAGCACCCAACAACTTTCTACATTAGCCTGCAGGATGGTGCCTTATTATGGAATGTGAGTAATGCTCCCAAACTCCTCCAGAGTGTTGAACTCCTCTGAAAGATGGACGGTGTCCTCTTTTGTGGCAGCATGGCTTCGTGGCATCCTGTGGTATGAGATGGGTAGTCGGCTACGTAGGAGCAGCCCCCTTAGGGGCTGGGGGTGGGCTGCTCTCACTTCTCCACCCTTGGAAAACATGGTTCTCATGAGTTATGAGGACTAACCAGGCTGATGATGTCTTCTTGGTGGACAGATTCAAAGCAAACCTTTAGGTTGTGCACAGCAGGTTTACTAGCCCCCATCTGACCAAATCACAATGATATCATGCTTCTGGTGGCCACATGACTCTCTTCTTGCTGCTTCTTTCCATATTAATGAGAAGAAACTTTTTTTTCATTCATTCTATATTTAACTAACAATTAGTAAAATCTCTCAACTTTTACATACAATCAGAAACTGGTATAAATATCTAGTAAAAATGACAAAGATGTGGCAGCCCAGCTAATTTTCTAGATTTTGGGCATGAGATAATTTGAGTAGGCACGTAGAACTCTTTGGATCTTTAATAATATTAAATAAAACTTAAAACTCTGAACAGTACCCAGTTTAGAAATATGAACACATGGATTTTTCTAAGTACTATATGCGGTAGATACTGTTGAAAAGGCAACAAATGGCAGACCATCTCACCTTAGGCAAACTCTTCTGGAACACTTGCAAGCTAAGGATCATGGGAGCAGCCAAAGCCCAGTTATAGTAACTGTGAGAAATAAAAATTGTGCAAAACCATTACACAGAGAGAGGAGAGCACGAGAGAGAAGAGGGATACAAAGTGGGGGAGGAAGGGAGAAAAGAGGAGAGGAGGAGGAGGGTAGAAGTTACAGAAAATTCCTTATTCTTTTCAATGAAAAGATGATCCGCTAAATTTTTTGTCACATGAATAATCTTTGCTTTAAGCCAAACTTCTCTGAACAGAACAGAAAAGCAGTAAAACATATAAAACAGAGTAACATTTCAAGGCCTTATTTAAAAATAAAGTTAAGGCTTCACTTTCACGTCCAAGTCGTTGCCCATTAAGCTCATTTATAGGAGATGGCATATTTTATAGCAAGAAAAACTGAGATAGTTAAAAAGAGCACTTGGAAAAAAACCCAGCAAGAGTATTTAACAATTATAAAAGCAAGAGTGTATTTACCGGTTATATATCCGTATTACAAGGTTAGGATTGTCTATAAGTCCAGGGTTTTCTGCAAATTCATGATAAGTAATGATATGCTCCATGAATTTTTCTGCAATGTAAAATAATGATCCGTTTGGTTAGAGATTACACAAACTCCCATATGAGATTATCACAATGCTCTCTGCATTGACAGGACTATAGGACAAAATAAGTCCTTTTTTAAAAAAACTACTTTTATATCCATCAAAAGCAAAACATCAGACACTTTGTTTTTCTAGGACAAGAAAGAACAATTCCTTTTTATCCTCTCCCTCTTCCACCACTCCTCCCCCAGTGTAAAAAACAAAACAAAACAAAAACAGGAGAAAGGGATATGCCAGAGACGTTTAGGAAAATAGATTACAGATGTGGCCAGAGAGAGAGGAAGACATGAAGACACACACACACACACACACACTCTATAACTAATGAGAACTGTGAGTTTCATTCTCATCAAAGGGAGGAACTCTTTACTGGCAGGCAACTGCATAACTGGTGAATATTCATGGGGGTCTCACAGCTTTAAGCACAAGTTACATTAGAACGAATAATCAAAATGTTTTACAATTGCTTGGAGAAAGAAACTCACACACAGCAGAATTTGTCTTGGAGTCTGTCTAGAAATAAATCCCAAGTTTTTTCAGAATGAATGAGGGTTTTGCATGAATTTCTGTACCCTGTTCCTAAACCTACACTCTAGGAGATCCAGGCTAACAGAAATTTCTCACTGGGATTGTTCCTCCCGGTAATTTGTATATTATTTACTTTTACTTGCCATTTCTGCCTCTTCCAATAACAGATTCTACCTAAGTTATATATTTTTAAAAAAATATAAATTTTAGAGTGCATATAAATTGTATATTTTCCATCCCCCCCCAACACCTATATTTTAAGTGAGGGATTATGAGCATTATAATAAGAATGTGACCTATTTAATTTTGTCCTCAGAAGAAACCATTGGCTATAACACAATTTCTTGCAAAAAAGAAAACAAATAGAATTAAGAAATGGAGAAGAAAGAGGCATAACGAGCACCTTGTGACCCTAGAAAGAAGATTTGGGAAAGCACAGCTGTAAGGCTCAGGGCATGCAGTCTGCCACACGCAGGCCATCAGCTGCTCTGAGGGTGACAGAAGACAAAAGATGATGCTAGCCACGGAAAGAAAACCTTTCCTTAGAGGAAAATCATTCAAGGGCCACCAGCCAAATAGAGGAAATATTAAGAAGGGTTTAGTTTACAAAGGAAAGTAAAACCAAATAGACCGAAGAACCTGGGACAGACACACACGGGTGCTCAGCCCACACCGGAGGCGTCTGAACCACCTCTGCTAAATAAGCTCCTTCCTTTCTCTTGAGCAAATTACTCTCCCAGGCCAACTCTCAAGACTGCGACAGAGAGTAATCCCTCCTACTTTTTGCCAGAAAGAACATTTACTAGCAGATAATCAATTTTCAACAACTTCAGGCCCTACGCTCATGTCTAAGGCCCTGTGCTTTCCAGGAAGACAGCTGGAGCCCAGTCCCACAAATATTTCAACAACTTTACAGACGAGAAAACAACACAGTGTGAGTTGACCTTGGCTCAGCAAACAGGGCGGCCTGAGAACTCTCAACCTCTTAATGTGAAATGAGAGCCTTCAAGGCACCCTCCCTCCCCCAAGCCACTTATATGTAATGTCACCCCACATGAGGTACCTTAAAGGAGGGGCTAGGGGTCTGACATTAAAGGAGATCACCTGTTACCTGCACAAAATCATTAAAGAATTTAATACCCTGCAATGGCTAAACAGCAGGTTTTCTATCGAGTGATGACCCGGCTGCTTTCTCAAGTGAAGGCAGGGCACAACCACCTGGTGTACCTTTAGAAATTTCTCCGTTCTCACTGAGGCCCCCACAAAGGGAGAGGGTGACGTCGGGCAAGTCCATGGTAGAATCCAAGAGGCACTCAGTGCCGCTATCGGCAGCTGCGCTTCCCACGGACTGTGGGGACTGGGAGCCAGAGGGCGTGTCAGACTCGGGCCACTGCCTGGAGACAGGGTCTGATTCACTGTGGGAGGGGACGGGGAGAAAAGGATTTGCCTTATTACAACTTCTTGTTCTTCTAGCTTACCACATGGTTCTCTGGGGGCTCAAACCAAATAACATACCCCCTTTAAAAAGGAACAGATCGACCAACAATCAGACATCGCTTTTCTTAGGTAGTGTTCAGAATCATATCATAAATGACATTAGAAATAAATAACCTAATAGCACTACTGAGGAATTAACTGTGAATACAGTAAATGTATCACAAAAATCACTTTAGTCATTCACAGTAATGCAAACTTTTCAATTATGGCCTTTCTGATTTTAATTAAAAGAGTAAAAGAGTTACAAGCATTTATTTACATTTCCATGATGAAAATGACAGAGTAATTAAGAAAAATCTGATGTTTGGAAACGTTTTGATCCTAACTTCTAGAAAAAGCTGTGGTACATATACATCCTGTACAAAATTACTGTAGTCCAAGGCTGTATTATTTTTAAAAACACGTCTTTTCTAAATTCATCTGCTATTTCACAAAACAGAACAAAGAAGTTAAGCAAGATAAAAATTTCAGGAGGCTAGACCCCCACCTTGAAGAACTGTATTGAGAAATAAACTAGAGAAAACTGTTCTGACACTAGTGAGGGCCAGGACTGAAGATGCGCTTATTCAGTATTTTCACTTTTCTGGATGATAAGGCACAGAGCCAGGTTTTGGAAAGTGATCCTAAGGGAAACTTTCTGTAATGGAACATAAATTTGAGAGAAAAAGAACATGGAAATGGAACCTTAAGTCTCTTAATCACGAATGTTTACTGCTCTATACCCTTTGAAGGATATTTAACGTCACATTGAGATACTGTTCTAGAATTTTCAAATTCTTTTATTCAAAAAGCCAGTATATTTAACGTATGTGATCACTGTATGCAATTCAATCGAATTACAGGATCTTTAGAAAAATCTCAAATTTGAGCAGTAGGTGGCAGCAAAGTACAGATATGTCATAAAGGAAAATGTTTCAAAAGCTATTACGTTTGCATTTGAACCAACAAAAGATTTGTTTTTGGAAATTTTCTCTCTTAATGGCAATGTATACCCATACCACAATACTGAGATGAAGTGGAACAACAGAAAGTTCTCCTCACTGGAAATGGTGAAAGCCAAAGCCCATGTGAAGCAGCAGAACCTGTTGTTATGCTGGGGTTGAGGGGCAGGGCGGACCCCCGGGTAAAATGCAAACAGAAGGCTGCTGTGTGTTCACAAACATGCGTCTCCTCTTGCTCCTGGGCCCACAGCCAGGTCCCCTTACAGTCAGGTGTGGCCACGTGACCAAGTTGTCAGACGTGGACAGAAGGGGTACGCCGTGCCCTTCCCCAGCCTGGCCCCTGAAAGCTCCCCTGTGCGATCCTCTCTCCTTTCCGTCGGGGCCCTAAGGGGTGGTGGAGCCTCAGGATGGAAGGAGCGTGCGCTCTTGAATCTCTGTGTGCAAGGCCTCCCACCAAGCACCAGCACTGGAATGTCACATGAGCAAGAAATAAACTAGTGTTGTGGTAAGCCACCGAGATCTGGAGTTTTATCAGTTAGAGCAGCTAGTGTTACTCTAACCAGTGTAACTTCTAAACACACGGAGGATGCCACTTGACTCAACATGTTGCCAAATCCACGAGAGTAATGTAATTTATAACAAAGTTTAGCTATAACTACAAATACAGGATATTTAGTCAAAATGACAACGATCATGCTAATAACAAAATAAATGCTTGAAAGCATTACAACAGTCTCACTATCTTTATGTATTTATGAAATGTCTCAAGAAATAATTCATTCATGAGGTAAGAAGCTTACTTGGTGAATGGGCAGTGACCCTCCACAGTCAAATTCTAACAGAGCACAGCAAGGTTCCATTGCATTAGTCACTCTCCCCATTTTTTAAAAGGGAAACTAAGAAATCTAGCTTAGGAACACCAAAGTAAATAAATGATTTAGGACTAGGAAATCTGAAAGAAAGTGACAATTTGAAGACAGCTTACATTTTAACAAAAAATGGAGCAGTTTCAGTTTTCTCACCCTAAAAATCCAACTATTACTTATATGAAGTAGGTACTGGAGACAAATTTAGGGCAGAGAGTTGGGACAGAGTTTTAAGGACCTTCTAAAAATATCTATAAAAAATTTAAATATCTTCATGTCAATCTCATTTTTCTATTTTAAATAAGAACTTAATGAAATGTCTTTCAATAATTTATTTACAAGTGTTTAATTATGTCTGCCTATGACTCTATATTCATGCCATACTTTCCATGGGGAAAAGTAAATTGTTTTTTGTAATCATAGAGTATCATAATGGAATTTCCCTAAGAATGGAAATGAACTTGGGAAAACAGCACAAGTATACCATATCTGAGGTTTTAGAGTTATTCAAAGGGGAAACCTGTGAGGGAGGCGGGGGAGTGTAACAGTGGGGGCGAGCTCTAGGGAATGTGGGGTGCACAGGCCAGCTGGAACGGTGCCTCATCAGACCCAGGCCCAAGTTCAAAAAAGCCCGGGAGCTCAGACTCACTGAAGGAGTGAAGGCATTCTCCATAAAATGTTTTCGAATAAAGATATGTTACCTTTAAAACACATAATAAATAAAATAAATGCTAATGAATTTTCCCAAGCATGGTGAGTTTGCATTAATGACTCTAAGTGCTAATCTGAAGTCAGATCCACTAGTATACCCTTATGTAGGTTCAATGCACCTTTTCTCACTGCACTGAAAATTTCTTCTTATTAAATAGGTAAATGATTAGTTTCAAATCACTATAGTCTGAAGAACAAACGCACAATTTCTGAATTTTCCAAAATCTGAAGCAATCATCTGACTTAGCTAAAGGACACCATCATCTTGCTCCTTTTTCTCAGATACAATGTTTTGTTCTAGAAATAGCTAGATATTTTAGAGCTGTTCATCCTTCAATATACAAAGAATACACTACCTTTTAGGGAAATAGAGAGCTGCAACTTCAGGTTCTAGAGCCTTTAAGTCATCCAGGTAAATATCATCAGGTCCCTGGTGTTGGCTTCTCTTGTGGACACCTGTTTTATAAGAAAAACACATCAGAGACAAGAACTTGCTTATTCTTCATTGACAACTCTGCACGAAAACAAAGATTTGCAAACAATAAAACTGACCATGATTAGAACTGCATTTTATTTTAAAGGTGTTAACTAACCTTTTCACTCGTGTTGGTTCTCAACCATTCATGTCAACGGAAGAGAAATTCAGTGTTACACACATAACAGCTGCTCAATGAACATATGCTAATCTACTCATTCTTTCGTTTGCTGTCACGTGAATAATCCTAGCCCTTAAATCATTTACATGATGATAAAGTTTTTTTATATTTATAGTATGAACAAGAATGACCAAACTTGATGAAATCATCGGCAATGAGAAACCATTGTTCTAATAAAGGAAAGGCTGTTGGGGAACAGGACAGTCACATGGTGCCAAAGTATTACCACGCATGACCTTCTGCTTGCAAAAGAACAAAAATCCTTTACAATGGATAAATCTGGCAGGCAATACCTTAATCAAACGATCACATTTAGAATCATTAAGGGTGGGACATTATAAGATGCAATATGAAGTACCCAATATATCTCATACAGTAATCTTCAGAAAATAAAAAATATTGGAGCCAGCCCGGTGGCACAGCAGTTAAGTGCGCGCGTTCCGCTTCGGCGGCCTGAGGGTTCGTAGGTTCGGATCCCAGGCGTACACTGACGCACCGCTTGTCAAGCCATGCTGTGGCCGCATCCCATATAAAGTAGAGAAGATGGGCACAGATGTTAGCCCAGGGCCAATCTTCCTCAGAAAAAAGAGGAGGATTGGCATTGGATGTTAGCTCAGGGCTGATCTTCCTCACCAAAAAAAAAAAAAAAAAAATTTAATCCAAATCTAAGCCTCTAGATCTGTACTGCCCCCTATAGTAGCCACCAGCCACATGTGGCTACTGAGCACCTGAACTGTCCTAGTCTGAAGTGAGGTTATGTAAAATGTGTTAAAAAAATGTATAAAACACACACCAGATTTCCAAGACTTACTATAGAAAATGTAAAATGTCTCGATAATTTTTATATTGATTACACGTTAAAATTATAAATAGTTTGGGTTTACTGGCTTAGAATATATTACTGAATTTACTGTTACTTGTTTATTTGTACTTTTTTAATGTGAGAAGACTTAACATTACACACGTGGCTTATATTACATTCCTATTAGACAGTGCAGTTTGAGAGCCAACCTCCAATCTAAGGAAACATGGGGATGTCACCACAAAGAAAATAGTCAGATACATTCAGAATGTGAGAAAGGATACAAGACCCTTGGCTGAGCTCTTCCAAAGGTCAGTATAGTGGGTGGAGAGAGGGAGAGAAGGGTAGTGGGGGAGTGTGTGTATGACAGAGTGAGCGAGTGTGTGTGTGGGGGGACGGAGCTGTTCTAAATAAAAAAGATTAAATATGAAAACCAAATGCAACATGTTAACCTTGAGATCTTGGTTTGGGGAAAAAAAGAAACAGCTAAAAAACTATTCTTGGTACATTTGAGGAAACATGAATATGAATATGGCTTCTTCAAGATGACAATGGTACTGTGGCTATAGGCAGAAGGTTCTTATTCTTAGAAGGTGTATCTTGGAGTATTCATCATAATGCCTGCAACGTATTCCCAAATGGCTTACAATAAAAATCTGTGTGTGTGTGAGTGGAGAGAGGGACAGAGAGAAGAAAGAGGGAGGGAGAGAGAAAGCAAATATGTATAAAAAGTTTCATAATAAAAAGTTTGGGGGGCAGGGGATGAGGCCAAACGAATGGGGGAAACCCCTCAGTGTTCCTATGTCTAGTCAGTCCCTACACTACGTGCTATAAGATTAAGGGTCATTATTTCCCCTAGCGGTCACTATGGGCTAAGAATGGGGGTCCTTATTTCCTAGATTAAAACCAAATTTTCACCCTGAAAATTGGATTTTCCCTCTTCACATTTCTTAGAGTACAACACATGGTTATGGGTCTTTGGTTTCAGAAGTGCCAAGCTGTGAAAGAACAGGTACCAAGTTAAGCTGGATCATCAGCTGAAAGATCACATTTGGCCACATATACCTGTGACAGTTGAACTCATTTCTTTTAAATAAATTATTTCTGAGTGACCATGAAGGTCTATGCCTGGAGTGGATATTTATTAAGCCAGTTTGTGATTATTTAACCTTTGGTGTTAGAATTTTTTAAAAAGTGAAGTAGGTATTTGGCAATATGTTACAATGGGTATTTTTAGGAAGTGAAACCTTCCCTAAAAATAGGGCCAAAGGCCAATGTTCAGATAGTGAGTGTGTTCTGGCTCTTCCTGTACCAAGTATCAATGGATGACTTTATATTTTTAAATGGTAAGAATGTTCTGATTTATTCAACTTGTATTCTAAAAGTGAGACGGAAATGTTGAGCCAAGAGTTAGACTCTATCTTCTGTTTTAGAGGGAAATAATGAAAGAAGAGAACATTTACTAATAATTTGTGTACATTTATTTACATCCCATATTATTGCAAAAAAGTACTTAATTTGGCCTCAACTAACCAGATGTCTCAGGTGAAAACATTTTTCTCTTATCTAATTTTTTCTGTTTAATCATATAATTTTTGAGGATTCCGTTTCACTTTATTGACACACCTTGTCAATAAAGTGGTTAATTTTACTCATTAACTGATCTGAACACTTCTGTTTATTTTTTCAATAAATATTTCTCAAGGGCCTACTGAGTAACAGCAGGGAGAGCGCAGGGAGGAAGTCAGAGTCTGCTCCAGAGGAACCTGCAGAGCAGGGGGAGCCATGTTAAATAAGCAATCCCAACAGTGTGCGAGAGGTTCTGATCAGGGAACACAAATATAAAGCTAGCCATCACATGTTATCTGAAACGCTGAAATAATTTACCATCTAAATTTAGAGCACCTGATGCCAAATTACAGCAATGATTACCTTTCTTCTTTGACGGCGAGTCTACTTTAGCTGCTGGTTTTGATTCTGATGGAGCCTCCACTGACGAGGGGTTAGGAAGGTGGTCCGCATCTAACATAGATGAGATCGGAGGAGGCTCAAGGAGAGGTTCGAGAAGTTCTGCAGCTCCAGTAGCATCGCTCATCTGCTTACACAGGGCTCTGGGTTTGGGTTTCACAATGGTACAGACCGTTTCTCCCATGGAAGCATCCTTTTCAACATCACTTATGAGGCTGTCCTCAGTGGGAATTACCCGAAAATGGGTATTTTCTGATGGAGTAATCGTAGCCGTCCTAGGATGATGGTCAGGTCTCTCTCTTTTGCTGACCTAAAAAAGTTGAATTGTTTAAAAATTAAACTACTTTCAAAGGTGTTTGTTACAATCTATTTCTTAAGCTGGATGTAGGTAAATGTGTTCATTTTATTTATAACTTAACACATTCAGTTAACATATTTCGTATGTGAGAAATATTTCAGTAAAGTGGAAAAAACTAGTAACTGTATTTTGTTCAATATCATATTTATAAAAGAGTTATATTTATAATTGTTCTACTATGAAGAAACATTGGAGAGGACTGAGGAAATATGACAATTTTTACATATGTAAAGAGAGAATATTCATTTTGATGGAGAAAAGTTGAGTACTACATGAAAATTTAGCCCTGGTTGGTCTACCTCAAGGCTATTTTATTATTTTTTATTTTTATTATTTTTGTGTGTGTGAGGAAGATCAGCCCTGAGCTAACATCCATGCTAATCCTCCTCTTTTTGCTGAGGAAGACCGGCTCTGAGCTAACATCTATTGCCAATCCTCCTCCTTTTTTTTTCCCCAAAGCCCCAGTAGATAGTTGTATGTCATAGTTGCACATCCTTCTAATTGCTGTACGTGGCACGCCGCCTCAGCATGGCCGGAGAAGCGGTACGTTGGTGCACACCCGGGGTCCGAATCCGGGCCAACAGTAGTGGAGCGCGCGCACTTAACCGCTAAGCCACAGGGCCAGCCCCAAGGCTCTTTTAAAATAGAGTTCAAGTGGGCAGTCAAGGCTCAATGCAATCACACATATAACCAAAATGTATATTTTTAAAAAACTAAATTAAATAGAGGGTCTAAACATTTTCTGTCTCAAGAAATATATCTTTCCAATTTTTTCTCCTTTCATTATGAGTTGGCAAAAAGCTTTCATAATCAATTTCCTGTTTAAAATTTCAGTGTGGAAATATTAGTTTCCTTTAGGTACCTTTAAAATTTTCCTTATTAAAATGTTAATTAACAATCAACATTGTTTACTAAATAAAAACACACAAAATAACGCTGGACTCCTTTTGCTGTCAACACATAGTGCAAATGTAATAAAAAATGTTAAATCTGGATTTATTTATGTGACCAGATGAGGGCACTACCATCATTTATATTCACGTGAGCTCGCTCAGAAATTGCCCTGCCCCTTTACTCATGGACAAGGGACCCCCCACACATTTTTAACCGGACACACTCCACAGGCAAGTAAACCCTACTACCTTGGTGGACTCTGGGAACCCGCCCCACGTCCACTCCATGTGGGACTCAGATCTGAGCAGGCTCTCGGCAGGTTTCACCTCTAGCTCTGAATCGCTCTTAGGGCACACTGCCGTCGGGGAATAGGGGCTGCAGACAAAGGACAAAGAAATGTGACGACTTTAAAGTCAGGAACCTCAGTCTTGCTGAGCTCAAGAGATTAAAAGAAATGTAAGTCTGAATATATTAGCTTTTTCCTGCAGATATAAAGACTCTATTGAAGGGAATGTCAATTATTTCTTCTTTAGTTCTTTAATAATAATAAAAACAATACCAACTAGTACTTATCGAGGACTTGCGACTTGCTGGGTCCTCTGTAAACACTGTATATGCATTATCCCATTTGATTCTCACAAGAAATCAATGAGAAAGGTAACTTTACAGGAGAGGAAATGCATGGAAAGACGGGCTAGATTAACATCACTAATGTGAGACAAACTGGATTTGAACAAAGTGACTGCACGTTTCTTCACAGTATTATCCACAGCTACAGTTAACAGCTGACACTAAAAGATTATAATTTAAGAATTGAAGAGGGCCAAATTCTATGTGATTATATAGATCTAGACAGACCAACATTGTGAGAATAAGTCAGATCAAGTTTAAGAACAAAATAATTATTGAGAGAAAAAGATCTGTATTTAAAAGTACACATTCTGTTCCTCTACTGCATAAGAGAAATGGGAAATATTTTAGTCAAATAACAGAAAAACTATTTCATGTATCTTTCCTTTAAGAAACTTAAAAATTTCGAAAATACTTACTTGTCTAAAGGGGACCAGTCTCCATCAGATAAGGGGTAGTGATCCCCAGAATGGAAGAGCAAAGGCTCTTTACATTCCTCTTCCTTTAAGGAAGCATTTGAAGATCCTCTGTGAAAGGAAAAAAACAAAAGCAGGCAGGAACAGTGACATTTATGTCAGCTTAAAAATATCCCCCAAATACTGACACATCATCTAAACGATACAGATGAAGAAGGCCACGTGATTAGCAACTAACCCTCTGAAAACGAAAACATGAAGGAGAAGGGGGAATTCACTGATGCCACCACTGTACATTACTGCAATCACTATTTAAACATGGGATAAACAGAGGGAGGACAGAAAAGAAGATGTGATTAAAAATTCCTTTTTACATCCCTTAGGGGTAACTGATTCAAAGGCTAGAAGAAGAAAACTAAGGCTTTATGTATATTTCATTCAATCCTTAGAAATCAGAGGTGGGAATACCCTATTTTAGATATTAGGGATCAAGGATCCAGAGTACACTAATTTGCCCAAAGACACAAAAGCTAGTAAGTAGTTGGATTCAAAACAAGTAGGCTCTTGTTCTTTCCACTGTCCTCTCCCTTCAGTTGAAGACAAGGGCTATGGCTCAAAAATTCAAAAATACCCTAAAAACTCTTAAAAACCTATTACTTATTTTCCTCTTGGCCTGGCCCAAGCATCACCTAAGAACTATCTCCTTACTTAGACAGAATGTACGTGATGTACGGACATGAAGATGATGATACAAAATACGACAAATGCCTTTAAGATTCATACACAGACCTTAGGACTGCAGGAGGCTGAACTAATGCTAACAAAGTTTTAATTAATTTACCCCTTGGTTTTCTTGAATTTGCAGAGTTAATGTAACTAAGTTGCCATATAACCTTGAAAACATCCCTCAGAAGCACTGTGGACCCCAGTTTTTCATCTTTAGTTGGAAATTGATCACTTGTTCTGTCTGTTTCAGTCACTGTGGGACTCATGTGCTATATATTATGTTGAAAGCTCTGAAAAGTTATCAAGTACAAAGAAATACTCTGAAAAGCGTGAGGCACTCTACCATACAAGTTTGAGAACTTCTTACAGAAAATTCAGTGCTCTACCAGGACAGATATTAAATGAGAATATCTGTATCATTTAATTTGCTAGACTAAAAATAGGACATAAATCAGTTTACTAATTTTTAATATTACTTTTCTTCCTTTATATCTTAATTTAACACGCACTGCTTTACCACTAACTTTGACATGTAATGGTTTTTCCACATAGCTGTATCTTCTAATTTAAGGTTTTCTTAACTCGAATCTTCTTTCTCTCAGAAGGATTAAACTGGCATACAACCCTCATTCAAGGGGAGAAATATATACACTTGAAAAAGGCAGACATCTAGGTAAAAATACTCTATGTCTTAAGAAAGGAAAATCAGATGCTTATGAACAGTCTTTATTTGCCAAACTGGAAAGGATAGTACAGCTTAACCCATCACTATTCACATATTGGAAAGCAGTTTGGAAGGAACAACATAAAAGCCACAGAAACTTTTTGTTAAAAATATTTTATTTTTGGAACATATTTCACTGCAGTATAAAAGTTAAGGCAAGAAGAATTCAGCAAAGCAAACTGGATTTAGTAAAATATTGAGAGACAGAGATCAGAAACCATTAAGAATTTATAACACGAAATGGTCTTCTCTGGGCACATCCTGACAAAAATAGAGCCCATTACTTTAGACTTGTTAGAGTGATGGAAAAGGCTGCTGATGCTGAGGTTCCTTTCAGTCCCATGATTCATTAACTAAAATAGGACTTCTAAAAGTCTGCTAAGCACTTCTCAAAATGGCACATACGCCTGAGAATAGGCGACCAGCTATGCAGACCGTGACAAAGTAACTTCAACTAAGTACATGACTTGAGGATATAAGGAAGTGTACATATTAGAATGTGAAGAAAATAGTACCAACACTGATTACACCTATGTTAAAACATAAGACAAATATCTACATTAACGCTGAACAGCAGAGGATTTGAGTAGGGAAAATGTTTAATGTTGAATCAGGGTTGGGGGAATGTAAGCGTGTACAGAGCACTGCAGCCTTCACAGATGCACTCCAACATCATGTCTTCAAATTCAACATTCTTTTGTAAACCAATTATCTTCCCTATTCAGAAGCCAACAGAGGTTACATGATGTATACAACCATCAAAATTCACTGAAGATCTATATTATTTTATGTAAATTATACCTCAATTTTTTTTAAAAGGAAGGAAAAAAATCAATAGGAAGTTAAAATAAATAGCCTGAATTATTTATGTGGGATAAATTAGAGGGACTGAACGAGTTTTTGTCTATTTAACTGGTAGTATGTAAGAGATAAATGGAGTTGCTAACTATCATGACCAAAGATCACTAACTCTGTTAACAATATGTTTATTCTCAACCTTAGCACAGCATTGGTCAATAAATTTCAGTGTGGCTAATGATCTAAGTTTGCATTTGGATATAGGTCATCTCCCATAAAAGATACCTTACAAGAGGACTGAAAGGAGCCCTGAAATGTTCTTTATTGTGTCAGAAATGAAGGGGAGGAAAGGGGAGTAAGCTGTAAGATTCACGTCACCACACAAGAACATGGAGAGTTCTCGAGAAGCCAACTGTTGATCAAGAGATGAAGTATGCAGCCTCAGGGCCATAGACGCTCCCTGTGAAAAGTCCTAGGTTCCCTGTACTTGGTTCCCAAGTCTAACTTGTAAGCAAGTCTGCTTTTGTGGATTAAAAGAAGAGACTCCTTTCTGATGGTGTGGTCTTACCCCTCCATTTTGGTTACTCCTGTGTATTTTAAGTTATTTCCACCAGTGGCACATTTTGTATATTTGCTCTCAAGATTGTGCTAGAGTACCATCCAATTTGAAAAGTTTCTTCTTTCCAGAAGGCTACTTATGCTTAGGTGCAATGTTTTTAATACAGATACACACTTACATACCCATGCATCTTCTGGAAGGATAAATAAGGCTTCCATGATATATTCAAGCCAAAAGTTCATCTGTAGTATGGGTGAGAGGTCACTAGGTACAGTTTACACAAAGCCCTGTGTAGCTTAAAGTTCTCCAATTTCCACCAATGAGTTTCTTCTGGTTGTGCAAAGGCAGCAACCTGCTTTAAAGGATGATTCCGTCTTTCATCTGCCTCCTTCAAAGAGCCTGAATTAACCTTAATTCTACTAATATCAATGAAATTCTTGAAAAGTAAAGAGTTTAAATAGAATGCTATTTATCAAAATAAAATAAAAACCTATTTTAGGTATCTTCTCTGGAAACAGATTTCTTTCCTAAGTGGTAGGAGCTGAGGACGGGAAGATATTGGAAAGCTGCAAATTCCCCAATCCCATGTAATTTCTAGATCTCACAACTGCAAAAGCACTTGACTTCCTATTCTTTTTCTCTCAGATTCTGTAACGCGCTATTTAATATGCTGTTAATACTTTTCACCCCAAATATCTTCCCCTAAATTATTTTAGAATCTAGATGCTGAGCTGGAAGGAGTCTTGCACACCATGCAGTTCAATTCTCTTATTTCATAGATTAAGAAATGGCGGCCCGGGTGATCAGGAGGCTGCTGTCCCACCCTCAGGGGTGTAACCAGCCCACTCGGCTACCTTTCAGCTCAGTACTTATTTCAGCATTCTCACAACTGTTACATTTTGTCTTTTTTAAGTCCTAATTTCTGTTGGCTGCATAATTAAACAGATCCTGTTTTAAGGAAATTTCAGAGAACAGTTCCTCCACGTGGCAGCATCTATATAATTCACTGGTAACCTAAAGAAAAAGCAAACCACCAAGCTCCTGACAATTATTATTTATAAGGCCCTAGTTTACATGCGTTCTGACATGCCTGCTTACCAAGCAAGCAAGGTCCTGGCTCCGAGAGAGAAGCTGGCGGCCCTCTGTAACTGTGGACCATGCCAGTACTTGGACAAATTTGGTTGGCACACCCTTCTGCACAATCTGGAGAAGTAGGGCAGGTGCTAATATTTCTGCAATGCGTTCACTTACAAAATTCCTTTAGAATGATTCTCATGCATTTAGTAGGTGACTGTACCTATGTTTTAGAAATGTTTTACCTTCCTAAATTGAAGCTGCAGGTTGTTTAAGAGCTTAAACTTTGCTCTATTTTAACAAAGGACATGTCAACAAAACTCTGGAGGCAAAAGTGTCACTTCAGTGTCCTTTCTGGTGGATCTTGGAAGAATTTTAGTTAGCAAAAATATTTCCAGGAATTAAGGCACTTAAGGGAGTATTACAGTGCTAATCCAAATTAGCCCACCTACATATTTTACTATAAATAAGTCAAAACTTTTAAAGGAACTGTTTATACTCTTCTTAAAAACATCAAAATCAAGCAATGGAAGATCTGAAAGAGTCCTTTATTCTCCTCGAGAAGGAAAAGATAAATAACCCTTAAGAGACTGAAAGCAGAAAGAAAAAGGATGGGAAGAGTCTCTTTTTAAGAAATTGTGATACTTTTTATTAGCTTAAAATTCTTTGGGAATCAATGCCGTAAAAGTAGATTTTACAACATGTATAATTAAGCTCTTCCCAGCTAGTATTTTGATACTGACACACACAAAAAATTATCCAAATTTGTTGATTTAGTTGGATTTTAAAATTTTATAGGTCCAGTTTACACTGCTCATAGAGTTTACAGTACTTTTTCACTATTGCTTTCTGTCTTTTGCTGTTTAGTTCTAACAGAGGAATTCTGAATTCTATCAGAACTGAAATCAAAGTCTAATGTATTCCACATGGGAGGAATGAGAAAGTGTGTCATAAATATGATAGTTGATGAGTAATAAGATGGGTAGAAAAAATTTCATATATTAAAAATCACTGTCAATGTAAGATTTTGTTCCAGGATTTATAATTCAGATTTTAAAATTTTAGAAAATGAGCAAACAGTTTTGCCAAAAAGGGATTCTTATACTATGTTATTCACTAACAGTGTGATTATTATAATAACAATATAGTAATAGATTTTTTTCCTGATGACCATTTAAAACAAAAGCTTGGTAAATAAAACTAAATCAAGGTAGAGTTTACACTTGGTATCTATTTGGTTTCTGTAACTAGAGAAAGAAATTATTTCCCCTCTTTTCCATGATGAAGAGAACTTTCCCAGAAAATAGGGCATGATCTCTCTTTTCAGCAGCTGAGGTGAAAGCATACAAGTGGACCAGCATCTACCTCATAACACCATCCTCCCCCACCCCAATTCAAATAAAGGGTGTGGAAATTAGGGTCACTTGCGGGCAGCAGCTTCTCGTCCAATGGTCATCAATACAGAGAACCACCCAGTGACACATGTACTGTCCTTCCAGTGCCAGGGCAACCACTAACTGGAAAAGGTGGAAGATAATCTTCTAAAAATCAAATCTGGAATGAAAAAGTATATGTTCTACCCCCTACTGTTACCTTTTAAACCCTAGGCAGTGCTGACTTGAAAACTGGCATATATTTTGAGCTCGTCCATTGAGCTGGTAAATAAGTAGTGATCAAGATTTCTCACTTTAGAAAAAGAGAAACCTCCTTTCCTCTTCAATTGGCTAGGATGTCTTGATGACAGACAGAACTTAACTCTACACTTCTTAGGAACAGGTGAGAGACCAAGCACAAGACCACTGGGGGGGGGAAGTACACCTGATGTTGTGTCTGCTCCCCTAGGGACAAGTCACTAGTTCAGATCTTCGTTGTGACTTGCGATTTATTTGGTTTTTGGAAACCTATTGGATGAAAAGACACACATTGCCAGTCTGCCTCAAATGATATTTTAGTACCACAGCAGGATGTCTGATGGCAAATTTTATAGAGTTGCAGAAAGGAAAAAAGAAAATGCCTCTCCCGTTTGATTCCACAGTAAACCGTCAAGGGGAAAAACAAGCCCAAACCTCCCACTGTAGATACATAAAACACACAACAGCAAATCACTGCACCGAGGTTTGTCCACAGCACGCACCCCGGCTCCTGCACAGAGCCCTCCCAGATCAAGAGCCCTACCTTGCTGACTGGGCCCGCTTGTCATCGTCAGAGCTCAGGTTCACATCCACCATGTCCTCTGCAGCAGGGGAAGAGGCCTGGTCTTCCTTCTTACTGTCCTGTTTGCATTTCTTTCTCCTTCGTTTTTTCTTTTTCACAGAACTTGGAGTGAAAACTCTCTCTGTTTCCAAGATGTGTGAGATGTCTGAACTCTGAGATGGTCTTTCATTTCCACCAGATTTCGCCAAACGGCTGTCAATATCTTTAAAGAACTGATCTTCAGTAGGAATTGGTGAGGTGGCAAGGTAAGCAGGAAGCTTCTCCTCAAAGAGAATACAGAGAAAGAAAAGTTGTCCATGACAAACTGGACAGTGAATCCAACAATAATGAGTTCTTTGCGTATGTGAATTTTCACAGTGGTAGAAAGAACACACAGCCCCTGAAGGTGAGGTCTCCCTGAGCTAGGGCACTGCTCGCTCTACTCTGAATATGTCTTCAGCCTGCTGCACACAGCTGAGTGCTAGCTCATCTCCAACCACGTACCTAAACACATTTGGAGGAAGACATATACCAAGTCAGCACGAAACACATGAAGCTATAATTAAAGCAAAGCCAACTAAATTCTCTGTCAAGAGAAGTTCAAAGCAGCAGCAGCGTTCTGAGGAGGCGTTATAAAGCACTCTGTCACAAAGTCACAAAGAATAACAACAGGATAAAGCAGAAGGCAGGGATCAGAAACATCCATCAGACCAAGGGCAGCAGGACAGGTAAGTGAAGAGAGGAACTACGGTAAAATTTAGAGTGGCTAATCCTTGTGTTTGCCAAATTGATTGAAGGTGGAGGAAGGTGATTCTTATAGAGACAATACCCTGTTAACAAATGGAATTCGTAGATTTTTAAATAGTAAAGTAAGATATCCTTTCAGGAATTCAAAAGAAGAAAATAAGTCCCAATAGTTAGAAATTATTAAACTCCTAATTTAATATTGAATAAATGATCAAGTTTGGTGTTCAGGAAATTAACTTCTTAGTCATTGGTTTCATTCCTTTGTATCATAGAGGAAACGGAAGGTAGGTAATAGAGATATAAATTAACCTCCGATAATTTAGAATACTCAAAGTTTTTACATAACAGTCCTGAAAATGAGTGGGTTTCCATAACTGTTTTAAATTAAACTTTTGAATTTGGCTTTGGTAAACATTACCCTGAAGTTGAAGTTTTGTTTACCTAAGCAAAATTTGTGTACACCAGCAACACACACTTACAGAGAAACTATGATGACAGGATACTATTCTGTGGGTCCCCAAGGCACCCAGGTGACAGGCTGTGGTCTCTGACTTCCAGGGCCTTTTAATGAGATGGTCTTTGTTCTGAATAAAGTTTACTTGTACTTCTTAAAAGTCGTTTTGTCTCTGGTGGTGTTTCCTAGTTCTACTATAGCACTGTTTGTAGATGGAGAATAGAAATAACCTGCATGTCTGTCAGTATGAGAATGGTTAAACTGTGGTGTAGCCATACTATGGAATATTTTGCTATTAAAAGAACAGAGTTAGATCTAGAACTATTGACTTGAAAGGGATGCTGATGACATATAGTTAAATAAGAGAAACTTGAGAGAAACAGGAAAGCAAATAAATGGAAGCCAGACGGTGTTTGGTAATGTTTATTCCCCCTTAACTGTGAACTCCTGGAGAGTGGGGGCATGTTTTATTCATAGTACGTGGCACAGAGTAGTAATTCCAATGTTGTTGGATGAACTAACATTTTTTATTTTAAAGAGAAGCATCCTATACTAAAGAAAATCTGGTTAATTTGGTCATATAAAGAATAGGAAAAAAAAGGCTGGCGAGTTGACACTCTCCAAGCTGACCTCGTTAAGCATGGTGTTAAATGGAACCCTCAGAACTGACCACGAGAGCCAGGTAACTATCAACACCCCAGTCCTCTCACTTGTTCATTTATACAAATCAGTTATGGATTACACATGATTTTAAGAAACACATCAAAAATATTTTGTTCTTGTGATAACTCACTTATTCTGCCTTTTGCCTCAGTCTCTGATGAGGAAAAATTTTGTTTAGGCCAAGTAAATGCAAACAAGGTAATATAAACACAAGTAAGTAAGGTACTAGGAAAAATACCGGTCTGGTAAGGTTCCCCTTCATAATCATACTGTTTCAGTGCTGCTTTACATACTGGTACCTAAGTTGCTGGTCTCTCTCTAAACTAAAAAATGATAAACAATCTCATTCTGCTATTGTTTATTTTTTGGGGATTTTCTTCCATTGTGAATTTATGACATCAAACTGACAGTCTGTCTTCAAAGCCAAAACACGTAGTCCTACATGTATCCTTAATAACTTGAAGGGTATCATTTTTGCTGAGATTTTACTTTTTATGATGAAAAATATAATAATGCCTTCTAAGAATTTTTTAAAAGAGCCACACTACAGGCCTCAAGAACAGTTCACCACCATTCAAATCAGTGGATACAAAGAAGTGAAAGGGAAAGACAAATTGTGCTCTCTTGCTGAAAGAAGCCAAACATGCAGTCATTGTTTATAAAGGGTACAGACCACAATAAACTAATTCACGTGACTGATGGGGATGTAATGTCCCTAATCAAAAAGGTAAACATGCTTACCAAGTTTAAAGGTCGCACATATATAAACACACACACAGCCTGAAGACATACACCTTGATTACTCAGGCAGAACTGAGTGTATTCAAGTCAAGGTGTAAACTGTAACAGACACTAAAGAAGAAAGGTCATTAAAGACAGAAAAAGATGTGCCTTCCCCTACAAAAAGAGCAGTGCAAAGGCCCTCTGCATACTCTCTGTACCCTGAAACTTGGTATGAAGGAAAGTTTCTCATTCCTCCAGCTCCTGTCTGACAGCTTAGTTCACCAACCTAAAACTAAAGCTTGTCTAGCCAGCAACAATCATCTATACAACTAACCATGGAAACTGCTAAACTCTTCTGTTTTGGGACATGAACCTGAGGCCTGAATACAACGCACAAAGGGGATGTGACCCCCTAGAACTTACATATTCCTCTTCAGTCTCTTCCACAAAGAAAGCTTCTCCATTGTCACCCAATTTCATGTGAAGATCCACGGCATCGCCATTGATTTCTATATCAATCTAAGAGGAGAAACAAAGCATGACTCAGCATTAAGAGTTTCATTCAAGCTAAACCAAGCCTAAATTCTGGGTTCTCAAGCCAGACTTAGTATTCAGGTTCCTAGAGTGACAGCCCCAGAGAACCACTGCTACCTTCCCCACATCCCACCCTAAAAAACCAAACATACCTGGGGTGGGGAAGGGATGGGTAACCAAGGATTGAAAGAAAATGTTTTATCACCTATTTTTATAACAAAATTTTTAAATTATTTAATTTCCCAAATGTCATAGAATAGGTGAAATGTCACTGTCAACAAACACCTGAGGGGCCACCCGGTGGCGCAGCGGTTAAGTGCTCCGCTGTGGCGGCCCAGGGTTCGCAGGTTTGGATCCCGGGTGCGCACCGATGCACTGCTTGTCAAGCCATGCTGTGGCGGCGTCCCATATAAAGTAGTGGAAGATGGGCACAGATGTTAGCCCAGGGCCAATCTTCCTCAAGAAAAAAGGGGAGGATTGGCATCGGATCTTAGCTCAGCGCTAGTCCTCCTCACAAAAAAACAAAAAAACAAACACTTGAGCAATTTCAGAGTTATAACAAAGGTATGGTTCAGATAAACACATACCGACTGTGACTAACCACAGAAAGTAGAAACTTCAGCACCGGCATTTCCATCCACACACCACTATATAAATAACAGGTGCCCATCACTATCAGTTACCCACCATGTCACTTTTTCAAAGTCTGTCAGTGACTGGTCCGAGCACATCTGTTATTCAGTTCAGGCACAGACAGCAAAGCATGTAGCTATGTTGCCTCCTTGTCTCCCAGTGATAAACTCATGTGACATTTTATAAAAATCGATAATTGAAAGAGGAAACTGACCAAGGTCAAAGTGCAGTAAAGAAACAAAAGTAATAGTGTTGGAAGTAAAATTCAAATTGAATGTAAACAGAGTTACAGAAGAAACAGCTAACTGTGGGAATAGTGACCCTGCTACCACTTGAGAGACTTGAGGTGTGCAGCCAGAAGAACCTGGTAAAGCTGAGCTTATCCACACAAAGGAAGAAAATGGTCGTAACGGAAAGAATAAAGATGGCCCAGTGGAAGCGACATAGGCAAAAACTTCACGTTAAACATACTTCATGACACTGAAAGCTCAACAGGATGAGAAATTGGAAGCTGATTCAAACTTAGACAGGAGTATGATAATTTGCCAAGACAAAGAAAAGACGCTTGCTCCATATCATAAGTTCTACATCAAGAAGGCAAGCACTGTTCAAACTATTTTTGATAAGTTTTTTACAAAGAAATAAGACACTTTAGTTCTCAATGTCTCTAATACTTAAAATTGCAGCATACACTCATGTGCCACATAATGCAATAACGCATAACGTCAATGATAAACTGCATATATGATGGTACTCCCCTAAGATTAGTACCATATAGCCCAGGTGTGTAGTTGGCTATACCATCTAGGTTTGTGTAAGGACGATGATGTTCACCCAATGACGAAACCGCCTAACGACGCATTTCTGTACTAAATACTATCTTTCATTTTCCTATACGTTTATAACTGACAGTAAAAATTTTTAAAGTTTTGACAAAATTTATAAATGTCATGGAAGAATCTTAATTTTTCTCAGTGATTATTAAGCTTGCTTTGCAGTTTCAGCTTGCCCAGTCATTTTAATGGTCTGTTCTACCATGCAAAATGAGAATTCTTTATACATAATATTAAATACTACCATATCACTTAAAAACAATGTAGTTGTTTGAGGAGGGAGTTCAAGATTTTGGCACAGGAAGAGCCTGAACTTACCTCTTTTCATGGACACACAAATATACAGTTAATGTATGGATCAATTCCCTCTGAAAAGAAACTGAGAACTAGCTAAACACCTACTTCACAACAAAGGATAAAAAGGACCACATGGAGGCAGGCAGGAGAGGCAGAAAAATGCTCTCACCAAATATCCCACCGTCAGCTTTGCAGCACACAATAGGGAGGGATCTCACCAGATGGGCGCTTCTCCGGGAGGAGTGAGGGGTTGGCGCCCCACATCAGGCACTCTAGCGCCTGGGATCTACACTGGAGAGATGAGCCCCCAAAACATGTGACTTAGGAAAACAGAGCTGACAGCCAAGGGTCCCAAAGTGCTACAGGAAACTGAAATTCCCCTCTTAAAGGGCTTGAATGTGGTCTGGCTCACCCTGAGACCCAGTAAATAATATGAGTTTAAAAAGTGCCAAGACTGTATATAAAGGAGAGTTGTTAGCTAATCTAAAAGCATCGGTTGGAGGGGCAGGGATGGTGGAAACACTCCCCAGGGATGGAGGCACCACTGCTGCACTCCCTGTGGATGGTTCAACATCCATAAATGAATCAATGTGATACACCACACTAACAAAACAAAGGATAAAAATCATATGATCATCTCAATAGATGCAGAAAAAGCATATGACAAAATTCAACATCCATTTATGATAAAAACTCTCAACAAACTGGGTAGAGGGAATGTACCTCACCATAATAAAGGCCATATATGATAAACCCACAGCTAACGTCATACTCAATGGCAAAAAGCTGAAAGCTTTCCCTGTGAGATCAGAAACAAGACAAGGATGCCCACTATCTCTCCTTTTATTCAACATAGTACTGGAAGTCCTAGCCACAGTATTAGGCAAGAAAAAGTAATAAAAGGCATCTTAATTGGAAAGGAAGATGTAAAACCATCACTATTTGCAGATGACATGATACTACATAGAGAAAACCCTAAAGACTCCACCAAAAAACTATTAGACCTAATAAACGAATTCAGTAAAGTTGCAGGATACAAAATCAATATACAGATATCAAGTGCATTTTTATACACTAATAACGACCTATCAGAAAAGAGAAATTAAGAAAACAATCCCATTTACAATTGCCTCAAAAAGAATAAACTACCTAGGAATAAATTTAACCAAGGAAGTGAAAGACCTGTACTCTGAAAACTATAAGACACTGACGAAAGAAACTGAAGACGACACAAATAAATGGAAAGACATATTGTTTAAAACGGCCATACTACCCAAAGCAATCTGCAGATTCAATGCAATCTCTATCCAAATACCAATGGCATTTTTCACAGAACTAGAACAAAGAATCCTGAGATTTGTATGGTACCACAAAAGACCTTGACTAGCCAAAGCAATCTTGAGAAAGAGACCTCGAATAGCCAAAGCAATCTTGAGAAAGAGGAACAAAGATGGAGATATCATGGTCTCTGATTTCAAACTGTACTACAAAGCTATAGTCATCAAAACAGTATGCCTGTGGTACTGGCATGAAAACAGATCAACAGAACAGAATAGAGAGCCCAGAAATAAATCCATGAATATATGGTCATTTAATCTATGACAAAGGAGGCAAGAATATACAATGGAGAAAAGGTAAGGTTTTTCAATAAATGGTGTTGGGAAAACTGGACAGCTACAGGCAAAAGAATGAAACTGGATCACTATCTTATACTATATAAAAATAAATTCAAAATGGATTGAAGACTTGAATGTAAGATCTGAAACCATAAAACTCCTCAAAGAAAACATAGGCAGTCAGCTCTTTAACACTGGTCTTAGCAATATTTTTTTGGACCCGTCTCCTCAGGCAAGGGCAACAAAAGCAAAAATAAACAAAGGGGATTACATCAAACTAAAAAGCTTTTGCACAGTGAAGGAAACCATTAACAAAACAAAAAGGCAACATACTGAATGGGAGAAGATGTCTGCAAATCATATATCCAATAAGGGGTTAATATTCCAAAATATATAAAGAACTTATATAATTTAATATCAAGAAAACAAACAACCCAATTAAAAAATGGGCAAAAGACCTGAACAGACATTTCTCCAAAGAAGATATACAGATGGCCAACAGGCACCCGAAAAGATGCTCAACATCACTAACCATCAGGAAAATGCAAATCAAAACCACAATGATATATCACCTCACACCTGTCAGAATGGCTATTATCAAAAAGATATATAAAATAACAAGTGTTGGCAAGGATACAGAGAAAAGAGAACACTTGTGCACTGTTGGCAGGAATGTAAACTGATACAGCCACTATGGAATTAAAAACAGAACTACCATACGATCCAGGAAGTCCACTTCTGGGTATTTATCCAAAGAAAACGAAAACACTAATGCGTAAAGATATGTGCACCCCTATGTTCAGCGTTATTTACAATAGCCAAGATATGGAAGCAACCTAAGTGTCCATCAATAGATGAATGGATAAAGATGTGAGATATATATATACACACACAATGGAATATTACTCAGCCATAAAACAGAATGAAATATTGCCATTTGTGACAACATGGATGGACCTAGGGGTTTTTACTCTAAGTGAAATAAATCAGAGAAAGACAATTACGATATGAGTTCACTTATGCGTGGAACCTAAAAAACAAAACAAACGAACAAACAAAAAAAACCAGAAAGAGACTCATATATACAGAAAACAAACTGGTGGTTGCCAGAAGGGAAGAGGGTTGAGGAGCGGGTGAACTAGATGAAGGGAATTAAGAGGTACACACTTCCAGTTATAAAATAAATAAGTCATGTAATGTAAAGCATAGGGAATATAGTCAATAATACTGTAGTAACTTTGTATGGTGACAGACGGTAACTAAGAGCTATCATGGCGATCATTTCGTAATGTATATAAATATCGAATCACCATGATGTATACCTGAAACTAATGATATCGTATGTCAATTATACTTCAATAAAAAAATGCAGTATTTATCTGTAGGGTGTGATACCGTAAATAATAAATGCATACCAACTTTCGAAACTCTTGTGGATAAACTTGTAAACTCTAGTTTTAGACTGCTGAGGGGATATAAAGACGAACGTATATAAAGATATAGATATAAACAGAACAGTCCATAATCCAAGTGTACTTAGCTCTGTGAGGCCCTTATGGTGGGAACAACCACATGGTCCACTGAGTTTTTCCCAGTGGGGACCAAT